TGGATTTTTATATGTTTTCTAGTAAATGCTTCCTGCAGGATTCTTTTGGTCACAAGAAATCTACACCAACTAATGCAGGAAGAGCAAATAGGCCAGGCTTGGGCCAGGGAACCCGCACGTGGCTGGTGATGGTGCTGGACCCGAGGGGGTGGCAGGCGACCTGATCGGATGTCTGCACACGTGAGTGCTTCCCTCTCGGTCCTCTCTTTCTGAACTTTGGCTTTGTTGGCACCCACAGCCTGCCTGTAGGCAGAAGAAGCCACCCATGGGATCTGAGCTCTGTGGGCTCTCACTCTAAATTCCAGGGAGGAAATCTATCTAGCTGGTCAGGTGTTCTCCTCTGATCCAATGGACCCCATGGAGGTAGAGGAGTCAGGCCATTTCTTCTTCTCCTCCTCCTCCTCCTCCTTCTTTCTTCTTAAATATTTGAGTCTATTTATTCATCTTGAGAAAGAGCAGGAGCTCGAGCCAGGGAGGGGAGAGAGAGGGGGAGAGAAACAATCCCAAGCGGGCTCCGTGTTGTCAGCATGGAGCCTGATGTGGGGCTCGAACTCATGAACCTGTGAGACCAGGACCTGAGCCGAAATCCAGAGCTGGGCACGTAACTGACTGAGCCACCCAGGCGCCTCCAGGCTATTTCTGAAATGGCTCCCCGTGGCCCAGAGGCAGTGGAGGGGAGGGTGCCGGGGCAGGGGGTATTTACTGTGTCCTGGTGGGGGGCCGCTGATACGCTGCTTAATACATGATTTTCCATCCCCAGCCTGCTGGGCTGCTCAGAATGGACACACACCCTCCTTCCAATGTTTATTCCATAATGAGTGTGTTGTCCACTGGCCCCCCCCGCCCCCCCCAGCCAGGGGACAACCTGAAGTCGTGTCCAGCTTTTGCACCTGGTGGTGATGCTCCAGGTCTCCTGATGGTGCTCACTCTGGTGTGGCCATGATCCAGGCAGGAGTGTCTCTACAGCTGGGGACAAAGTGCTAAATTATTGGTCATTGTCAGCATGGCATGGGGGAGGGGAACAGGCCCGCCGAAACCGAAATAAATGCCCATTCAAAAAATACTGGGAGGAGTAGAGTCTTCATGAAACCACCATGGACTGGCCACTGGTCCGAGCACAAGCCCCCGTGGACAGGCGGAGTGACGGGGATGGCGGGTCCGGGATTCTCGCGGCATCCCGTCGCTGGCTGGCACCGTGAGCTCCTTGCCTGGTCTGATTCTGCCAAGCTCTGCCCACAGGAAGGCAGTCCCTCCTTCACGGCTCTTCTGGGCTGTTCCCTGTTAGGTGCAAGGCTCAAAGGCTATACAGTTTTAACAGGTGAGTGAATTTCCTGTGGTTGTTGGAACAAAGAACCACAAACCCAGTGACGTAAAACAACACAGTTTTATCACCAAACAGTCTGGAGGTTAGGAATCGGACATGGGTCTTGCTGGCATCGGCAGGGGGCATTCCTTTCTGGAGGTGCTAGAGGACACTGCCCCCTGGCCTTTTCCAGCTTCTAGAAGCTGCTCACGTTCCTCGGTTCCTGGCCCTTCCAGGCAGCACTACTTCTCTGATCATTTTTCAGTCATATCTCTTCTGTGCCCCCTCCCCTGCCTATGTCATCCACTTTTTTAAAAAAAAAAAAATTATGTTTACTATTTTTAAGAGAGAGAGAGAGCATAAGCAGGGGAGGCGCAGAGAGAGAAAGAGAGAGAGAGAGAGAGAGAGAGAGAGAATCCCAAGCAGGCTCTGTGCTGTCAGTGGGGAGCCCAATGTGGGGCCTGATCTCATGAATTGTGAAATCATGACCTGAGCTGAGATCAAGAGTCGGATGCTTAAAAGACTGAGCCACCCAGTGCCCCTCAGTTTAAATTTTGAAAAAGTAAATATCAATAGAGTCATGCACACAGATACATGACCCACATGCACACAGGCTTTGGGTTCTTGATCGTTTTTAAGAGTGTAAGGGGTTCCTGAGACATAAAAGTTTGGGAACCACTGCCCCAGCCATTTACCAATGTCAGCCTTCGAGTTTGGATGGGCACCGGCAGCTCGGGGTGTCACCTGGGGGGCCGCACCTGCTCATAAGCTCAGTGGAAGACGAATAAACTCATGGAAAGTGTCCCTGCCTTTTTTGGGAATGGGAGGAGCCTGGGTCTGTCCACCTGGCCCTGAAGTGGGACTGGTGCTGGGGGGGGGGGGGGTTGCATCCGCATTACTGGGAGTCAGGAAAAAATACAGCGTCTTGAGTCCTTTGTAAACTGGTGCTGATTCATGGCTTTGCAGTAGGCTTGAGATTCTGTGTTTATTTGAAACCTCTGAGATAATTCCAGTGCCTGCCAGGTTTAGGAACAATCGATTAAGCTGCCAGATGTGCCCCTTCCCCCCCCCCCTTTTTTTTTTTTGAAAATCAGGAGATAGAGTTGTTAACATAGACCCTCAAAGTCCGAGCAGGTTGGAGTGGGACAAGAGGAAAGAAAAGGGGGCGCCTGGGGGGCTCAGTCGGTTGAGCGTCTGACTTCGGCTCAGGTCATGATCTTGTGGTTCATGGGTTCGAGCCCCGTGTCGGGTCTGTGCTGACAGTCAGCTCAGAGCCTGGAGCCTGCTTCAGATTCTGTGTCTCCCTCTCTCTCTGATCCTCCCCTACTCATGCTATCTCTCTCCCTCTCTCAGAAATAAATAAACCATTAAAAAAATTAAAAAAAAAAAAGGAGGAAAGAAAAGGTAGTGGAGACCAACTCGGGAGTGAGGGACTGACACATAATGGCCCCCGTCCCCTCCTTTACTTGCAAGAGTTGAGAGATCCAGACGCTATCAGACTGATGGAGATGAACATATTTACCTGAAAATAGTTACCGATGAAGGTGGTCGGCAACCGGCTTTCTGTCTGCAGCCACCCAGATCTCCCCACCTGCTGGGCAGGGAAAGCCTCCCTGTGGGAGCTGCCCCATCCACAGGGACTGACAGCAGCAGCCTCACAGGGCACACCCAGGAGGGCAGGAGAGAGAGAGCCAGCGTGCCACTTCTGTCCTGTTTCCAAACCCGAAAACCCACCCATGTCACTCCTCTCCACAGGCAAGAAGGAATGAGGGAGGGGATGAGCCAGGGGCGGGAATCTACCTGAAGCCCCTCCATATGGAAGGCTGAGGTGTGGGGAGTAGCTAACATTCCTCAAACTCTTCTACACATGTTTGTGTGGTCGACTCTGAGCCAGGCATGGTGCTGGGGGCCAGGATGCAATGAACACAATCCTGGCTCCGAAAGCTCATGAGTTTGCTACAGAAATGTGTTTCCTAGACCATGGACGTCCAAATCATCTGGAATTTCACATTAACGTGTGTTTATTGAGCACTTATTTTGAGCCAGATGCGTTCTAGGTACTTGAACATCAAGTCCCTTCCCTCGTTGGCTTCCATTGTAGTGGGTATAGTATGTACTATGTCAGCTGATGATGAGTACTGTGGACAAAAATCAGTGAAGCAAGGGGGCTGGAGAAATCTATGGAGATGGGGTGGTGGGCTTGTTATTTTATATAAAGTGATCAGGAGTTGCCTCAATGAAGGGACATTTGAACAGCATCCTGAAGGACTTGAGAGAAGCATGTGGATATCTGACAAACAGGGCTCCAGGGAACAGGAACATCATATGCAAAGGCCCTGTGGCCTGAGTGTGATTATCATACTCACGGAACAGCTGAGGGAGGTCATATGCCTGGAGGGTAGTGGACAAAAGAGGAAAAGGGGTAGAGGCTGGAGTAAGAGAGGTATGGAGAGATCATGCAGGCCCTGGTAGGATAAACATATTTCGACCTCCGTTTTGAGGGGACAGTTCTGGTTTGTGTGGGAAAGTTGAAGAACTTGGTAGCTGTTGTCGTAATTTGGGGAGTGGAGAGGTAATGGTGGCTTAGGCAGGAGTGCTGGTGTTGGCTGAGCTAAGAAATGGTCAGATTCTGGAGGTTTTCTGCAGCACAGCTGATAGAATTTGATGACTGATTAGAGGTGAGAGGAGGTGTAAGAAAACACAGTCGGGGCCGACTCCACGGGTTTCTGGCTTAGCACCTGGACAGATGAAGCTGCCCTGAGACGGTGAGATTCTGGGAGGAGCATGTTTGGGAGGGTAGTGGGACCTGACCTGTGAAGGGCTGAGTTTGACGCTAGTTGGACATCTGCATGGAGAATGTGTGTGTCCAAAGCTAGAGATCAGAGGAGCAGGAGAGAGGGATCAGGAGGTTCAGTGAGATCATCTAGGGGTGAGCACTAGTGGAAAAGAGAATTGAAGCCTGGGTTCTGAGACAACTTGACCTTCAAAGGTCTTGGGGCTGACAGAAGGAGCCAGTGAGTCAGAGGAGAATCAAGAGCAGGTGTCCTGGGCCACATGAACAAAGTGTTTCAAGAGATGGTGACCAGCTTTGTCAAATACAGCTCAAAGTCAAGGTGAAGACAGAACGTCCCATTGGCTGTAGCCGCACGGAGGCCCCAGTGCCTTTGCTGAGCTGTTTCAGGAGTTGAGAAGCCAAAAGCCATGGGGTGTGTTCACGGGAGAATCATGAATGCCGTGGGAGAGAACGAGGAGGAGCCATTCTCTCGAGGCGTTTTGAGGAGAGGGGAGGTGGCTGGGGTGGGGACTGTGGGATCAAGCTCATTCACCCCCACGTATGTGCTGAGTACTTACCGTTGTCTCAGGAGCGCCAGTTACTCAGAGAATCCTCACCATGGCGCAGCGTAGTTCTAGTCAAGGGAGGCAGCTAACAAGCACGTTTCATTTACACGTTACAAGATGGCTAATTGGGGGGATAAAAGCGGGGGGGGGGGAGAGTAAGGAGCTTCACGTATGTATGGCGGGGAGAGGGGTTGGAGTTTCAACAGCGTGGTTGAGGAAGCCTGATGGTGAAGGTGGTATCTGAGGCAGACCTGCAGGAAGTGTAGACGGTGGACACCATGGGGAAGGACCCCTGCATAGGGGACAGTTGCTTCTGTAACAGCCGCGGGTTGGAGTGTGGCTGGAGGGGCATCGGCTAATGAGGAGGCGGGTCCTAGAGGTAGAGGGGGGCTGGGAGGTTTGTGTAAATGGGGCGGGGGTCTTGGAGACCTTTGCGAAGGTTTTGGCCTTTAGTCTGAGTGACACAGGGAACTTCTGGACGACAGAAGGGTTGGCGGGGTGAGATTATAGGTGTTGGCGCTTGAAACCAGGTTGCATTAGGGCTCCCCAGAGACACAGACCCAGTGGGCTAGATACTGTCTCTATCTATATATCAAGAGAGATTTGTGTTAAGGAATTGGCTCGCACAATTGTAGAGCCTCATGCATCTGGTATCTTCAGGGTAGGCCATATGCCTGGAGGACTCCCCCTCCCCGGGGAGGAGTTGCTGTGCAGCTCAGGACTGAAGACAGTCCGGAGGGACCATTGTCTCTTCCTTGGGGCATTTCCATCTCCAGCTTTTTTCTCTGAGGCCTGCAACTGATGGAATGAGGCCCACCCCCATTATGGAGAGTAATCTGCTTTACTCAAAATCTACTATTTAGTCGTTAATCTTATCTAAGGAATACCATCACAGCAACATCTAGACTAGCGTTTGACCAAATATCTGGGTTCTGTGCCTGGCCGGGTGGACATATAAAATTCATTCTCACCACAGTGTGAAAAGGTGCTGGCTTCTGATACCAAAGCACCTATCTCTCTATGTTCTTATAACCTGGCTGGGAGGCAGGGGCCGTGCATGATACTGTCGTCTCATGAGGATGCTGCTTGGCCCCATGAACATCAAAACTGTACCAGCTGGTCCCCTCAGTTCTCACAGAATCCCCACGGAGCTCAGGTGTGGCTCCGTCCTCAGACCCGAGCCACAGTTTAGGGCATGGATATTATTTGGGAGATTTGTCCTGATCTTCCCTCCTTGGCTCTCTTCTGAGATGCTGTACAGTCTTCCGTGGGTCTTCCTTCTCTATTGACTAAAATAAGGGAAAGAGAAGAAACCCCCCTAAAATCCTTATGTAACTCAACTCTTACGAATCCCCCTTCCTGAGGAATTCCCCATCTTATTTCAGATGTCCAGGGGTGTCCTTATGTGTTTGACTCCCATTCGGCTTGGGTTGGGGCTCAGGATATTTGCCTGAGAGACTCACCATTCCCTCCACCCTTGAGGAAGCCCATGGAGCTGCTAGTCTGGCCGTGAACCAGAGAGGCAGGATGGGAAGAATTTGGCCAGAGCTAGGAAAGAGGGGGGTGGAGGGGGAGCTGTGGAAGTCTGTGTGAGAAGTCCCTCGATAGCCTGGGGGCAGCAGAAGGGAGGGGCTTTTGAGAAACGTTGCTCTGGGTTATAATTCAAACCCCCTTTAATATTCTTGGAGACATGCAGGCAATAATTAGATTTCTTTCTATGGAAATGTAGTTGACGCACAATGTTATATTAGTTTTAGGTGTATAATAATTAGAATTTTTTGAAACCACTTTTGGCTCCATGTACACAGGACTCCATGGGGAGACTGAGCCACGAGGACTCTAGCTTTTGAAGCAGGGTTACAAATGTCTCCTTGATCACGTGTGGTAGAAAAAGTAAGACGGTTTTGCAATCAGACACAGCCTCACCATCTGGCTCGGTGACCTACAGTGAGATGCTTCTCAAAGCTGTAGTTTTCGTCTTCCGTTAGGTGGGGTGAATCACGCCACCCTGTGAGGTTGTTACGGGGATAGAGTGAGACGAGGCATGCAGCGTGGCACACGGGACTTACCCAGAAACGGTTACTAAGCCTTCCCTCAGTCTTTCCATTGTCCTGCCCGGCCCACCGTCTACATGGACCTGAGGAGATTTTCCGCTTCTGCTAATGGGGATCTTCTATAGACCTCTGACTCTTGGCCTGGCGTTTGCTGCTGAGGGGAATGGGGGCTACGGAGGTGCCAGTTATTTGGAACAAAGATGGAAGAACAGTATGTTTCCCGTGCCTTTTGCACAGACATTCCCAGTGAAGCTGGGAACTGGGGAGATGTAGAGGCGAGCCTAAACTGGAAGACCATTCGCTGAATGAGAGGCTGAGACGTTACAGCTCCTCCTGTGTGCTGGAAGTGTTTATTCTTTATTCTTATTATTTTTAATGCTTATGTACTTTTTTTTTGAGAGAGAGAGAGAGAAAGAGACAGAGCACAAGAGGGGGAGGGGCAGGGAGAGAGGGAGACGCAGAATCCAAAGCAGGCTCCAGGCTCTGAGCTGTCAGAACAGAGGCCGACGCAGGGCTCGAACTCAAAGACCAAGATATCATGACCTGAGCTGAAGTTGGACGCTTAACCACTGAGCCTCCCAGGCACCCCTCTCCTTTATCATAATTAATGATTCTTAGAGTTGCTGTTAATGGGCCATCCTATCAAGACTGCTCATGTGACTGACACTTCATAATCAGGTATTTCCAAAATGCCAGTGCCTCCCTCCTTAGCAACAGAATTGCTTGGAGACTAGCTCCACCTTGTGGAGAATCCTAAAAAGAGTGAAATTGGTGTATTGCTAGAGGTTAAGGAATTGAGGCGAAGTAAATTTGAATTTTAATTTTTTTTTTTCAGGAAATGCCTTGAAGTTATATATAATTAGACCATGCATTTTAAGTGAAACTTTCACATATATATTTTTAAAGTTTATTCTCCTTTCTTAGTTATCTCTACATCTAACATGGGGCTCAAACTTGGCGGCCCTGAGATCAAGAGTCACGTGCTTTTGCAACTGAGCCAGCCAAGCACCCCTTATAAATATTTTATAAGTGATGAGATCACTTTGTCAGGTGATACTGACTCTGTAATTGTACTACTATCTTAAAAAAAAACAAAATGAGGCACCTCCAGGTGGCTTAGCCTTAATTTCTTCTTGGAAAATGTTATCTATTTATTTATTTATGTTATATGATTTTATTGTTATATATGATAAGTGTACTCTTTAATTCCCATCACCTATTCCACCCATTCCCCCACCCACCTCCTTCCTCTTTGGTAACCATCACTTTGTTCTCTAGAGTTAAGAGTCTGTTTCTTGGTTTGTCTCTCCTTTTCCCTTTACTCATTTGTTTTGCTTCTTAAATTCCACATACGAATGAGGTCATATGGTTATTTGTCTTTCTCTGAATGACGTATTTCTCTTAGCACTATACTCTCTAGCTCTATCCATGTTGTCACAAGTGGCAAGGTTTCATTCTTTTTTAAGATAATAATATTCCATTATATGTATATATACTACATCTTCATCCATTTAGCTATTGATGGACACGCGGGCTGCTTCCCTAGTTTAGTTACTGTAAATAATGCTGCAGTAAACATAGGGCTGCATGTATCCCTTTGAATTAGTGGTTTTGTATTTTTTTGGGGGGTAAATACCTAGTAGTGCTATTACTGGATCATAGGGTAGTTCTAGTTTTAACATTTTGAGGAATCTTCGTACTCTCTCCCACAGTGGCCACACTAGTTTGCATCCCCACCAACAGTGCGTGAGGATTCCTTTTTCTCCACATCCTCGCCAATGCTTGTTGTTTTTTGTGTTTTTGACTTTAGTCATTCTGACAGATGTGAGGTGCTATCTCATTGCGGTTTTGATTTGCATTTCTCTGATGATGAGTGATGTTGAGCATCTTTTCACGTGTCTGTCAGCCATCTGGATGTCTTCTTTGGGGAGTGTCTGTTCATATGTTCTGCCCATTTTTTAAATGGGTTTTGTTTTTTTGGTGTTGAGTTACATCAGTTCTTTATGTATTTTGGATACTAACCCTTTATTGGGTATGTCATTTGCAAATATCTTCTCCCCTTCCACAAATTACTTTTTAGTTTTGCTGATTTTTTCCTTTGCTGTACAGAAGCTTTTTATTTTAATGTAATCCCAGTAATTTATTTTTGCTTTTATTTCCCTTTCCTCAGGAAACATATCTAGAAAAATGTCTCTGTGGCCAATGTCAGAGAAATTACTGCCTGTGCTCTCTTCAGGGTTTTTATGGTTTTAGGTCTCACATTTAGGTGTTTAATCTATTTTGAATTTATTTTTGTGTATGGTTTAAGAAAGTGGTCCAGTTTCATTCTTTTGCATGTAGTTGTCCAGTTTTCCCAACACTATTTATTGAAAACTGTCTTTTCCCCATTGTGTGTTCTTGGCTTCTTTATTGAAGATTAATTGACCATATGATTGTGGGTTTATTTCTGCAGTTTCTGTTCTATTCTCTGGATCTACATGTCCATTTTTACGCCAGGACCATACTGTTTTAACAACTGCCACTTTGTAGTATAATTTGAAATCTGGAATTGTGATACCTCCACTTTTGTTTTTCTTTTTCGAGATTGCTTTAGCTATTTGAGGTCTTTTGTGGTTCCATACAGATTTTAGGATTTTTTTGTACTAGTTCTTATGAAAAATGCTATTGGTTTTTTGATAGGGATTACATTAAATATGTAGATTGCTTTGGGTAATATAAACATTTTAATAACATTTATTCTTCCAGTCTATGAGCATGGAATGTCTTTCCATTTCTTTACATTGTCTTGAGTTTCTTTTATCAGTATCTTATAGTTTTCAGAGTACATCTTTTACCTCTTTGGTTAAGCTTATTCTTAGATATTTTGTTTTGGTGCAATAGTGAATGGGATTTTTTTCTTTAATTAATTAACTAATTCTTTTATTTTTAGAGAGAGAGAGAGTGCATGTGTGTGTGTGTGGGTGTGTGTGTGTGTCTGTGTGAGCGGGGCAGGGGACAGAAGGAGAGAGAGAGAGAGAGAGAGAGAGAGAGAGAGAGAATCACAAGCAGGCTCCATGCTCAGTGTGGAACCCAATGCTGGGCTCCATCCCACCACCTTGGGATCATGACCTGAGCTGAAATCAAGAGTTGGACACTCAACCAAATTAGCCACCCAGGTGCCCTTGGATTGTTTTCTTAATGTCACTTCCTGCTGCTTTATTATTAGTGCATGTGTGTGTGTGTGGGTGTGTGTGTGTGTCTGTGTGAGCGGGGCAGGGGACAGAAGGAGAGAGAGAGAGAGAGAGAGAGAGAGAGAGAGAGAATCACAAGCAGGCTCCATGCTCAGTGTGGAACCCAATGCTGGGCTCCATCCCACCACCTTGGGATCATGACCTGAGCTGAAATCAAGAGTTGGACACTCAACCAAATTAGCCACCCAGGTGCCCTTGGATTGTTTTCTTAATGTCACTTCCTGCTGCTTTATTATTAGTGTATAGAAATGCGACAGATTTCTGTACGTTGATTTTGTATCCTGTGACTGTACTGAATTCATTTATCAGTTTTAGTAGTTTTTTTTTGTGGAGTCTTTAAGGTTTGCTATATAGAGTATCATACCATCTGCACATAGAGCTTTATTTCTTCCTTACCGTTTTGAATGCCTTTTATTTCTGTTTGTTGTCTAATTGCTGTGGCTGGGACTTCCAGTACAATGTTGAATAAAAGTGGTGAGAATGGACATCGTTGTCTTGTTCCTGACCTTCAGGGAAAAGTTCTAGTTTTTCAGCACTGAGTATGATGTTGGCTGTGGATTTTTCGTATAAGACCTTTATTATGTTGAGGTATGTTCCCTCTAAATCTACTTTGCAGAGATTTTTCCCTTTTGTTTGTTTTTTGTTTTTCTCTTTTTTTAAAGTTTATTTTTTATTTCTTATTAAAATCTTTTTTAATGTTTATTTTTATTTATTAAAAAAATTTTTTTAAGTGTTTTATTTATTTCTAGGAGAGAGAGAGAGAGAGACAGCGTGAGCAGGGGAGGGTCAGAGAGAGAGGGAGTCACAGACTCTGAAACAGGCTCCAGGCTCTGAGCTGTCAGAACAGAGCCCAACGCGGGGCTGGAACCCACGAACCACGAGATCATGCCCTAAGAGAAAGTCAGATGCTTAACCGACTAAGCCACCCAGGCGCCACTAATGTTCATTTATTTTTGAGAGAGAGACAGAGACAGAGTGTGATTCGGGAAAGGGTAGAGAGAGAGGGACACAGATCTGAAGCAGGCTCCAGGCTCTGGGATGTCAGCACAGAACCCAATGCAGGGCTCGAACCCAAGGACCGCAACATCATGACCTGAGCCCAAGTCAGACATTTAACCCACTGAGCCACCCAGGTGCCCCTAAAGAAGTTTATTTATTTAAGTACTCTCTATGCCCATTGTGGGGCTCAAACTCACAAATCTGAGATCAACAGGCACATGCTCTTCTCACTGAGCCAGTCAGGCACCCCAGCAGAGGGTTTTTTAATGGATGGGTGTTATAGGTTGTTGAATGCTTTTGCTGCCATCTATTGAAATAATCATTTGGTGCTTATCCTGTTATTGATGTGTTTGCAAATATTATTCAGTTGATTGTTTTGTGACTATTGAACCACCCTTGCCTCCCAGGAATTAGTCCCACTTGACTGTGGTATATGATTGTTTTTAATGTGTTGTTGGGTTCGGTTTGCTAATATTTTGTTGAGGATTTTTGCATCTATATTTATAAGAAATATTGGCCTGTAGTTCACTTTCCTTGTGGTGTCTTCATCTGGTTGTAGTATCAGGGTAGTACTGGCCTCATAGAATGACTTTGGAAGTTTCCCTTTCTCTTCTGTTTTTTTGTTTTGTTTTGTTTTTGTTTTTTGTTTTTTTTTTTTTTGGAATAGTTTGAGAAGAAAAGGTATTAATTCTTCTTTAAATGTTTGGTTGAATTCACCTGTGAAGCCATCTGTTCTCGGACTGCTGTGTTGTGGGAGGTTTGTTTTTTTGTTTTTACTGATTCAATTTCCTTGCTGGTAAACAGTCTGTTCAAATTTTCCATTTCTTCTGCTTCCTTTCATTTGGTAGATTATAGGTTTCTAGGAATTTATCTGCTTCTACTGAGTTGTCCAGTTTGTTGGCATATAGGTTTTCATAACATTTTGTTATAATTGTTTGTATTTCTGTGGTGTTAGTTGTTACTTCTTTTCTTTCATTAGTGA